TTCTAGGTATTTTATTTTGTTGCTATCGTGTAAGGTATTGATTCTTTGATATGAGTCTCAGCTTGACTGTTATTGGTGTGTAGCAATGCTACTGATTGGTGTACATTGATTTTGTAACAGACTTTGCTAAATTTATTTATCAGTTCCAGGAGTCTTTTGGTGGAATCTTTAGGATTTTCTAGATATAAGATCATACTGTCAGCAAACAGCAATAATGTGACCTCCTCTTTCCCAATTTGGATACTTCTTTGTCTTGCCTGATTGCTATGGCTAGCACTATGTTGAATAGAAGTGGTGACAGATAGCCAACATCATACTGAATGGGGAGAAGTTGAAATCATTCCCACTAAGAACTGGAATAAAATATTCTGTAAAAATTCAGTGAGAACTTCAGGTTACATTAGTTAATAAATAAATGCTTTATAATACATGAGATATTGTGTTACCTGTGATTAATATTGGTGCTGGACTTCTTTGAGCAGATTGACACTGTAATTGTTTTGTTTGAATTAACAGTATAATTTTACATGTAGTCCTGATTTCTCACAGTCTGAACTTGGATTATATATTACTCCACTGAAAAAAGTTTGCTGGTTTTATTACACAAACTAGGCAGAATACCAGAAATCTTGCACGCTACCATATGAATTCTCTCTTAAATCATGTCTCAACTATCCAAAAGTAACAGTATGAATTATATAACTGCCATGTGCCTTTTGGGACTTGTAACATTTGCAGGATTTATAGAAAAATGACAATATGATTATTTTAATTGTGTGGACTTCAAAAGCACTTCTAACTAAAATTTGACCAAAATTTTCGGTAGACAGCAAAAACAACAGTATCTTTGCATTGATATATATGTCTTTAAAGCTGGCTGAAAACATTACCATCTCAGAAGCAGGATAAGAAATTATTTAATGCTATTTTGGAGAAGTTTCATTAATAGAATTCCTATAATTGTCAAACTGTATCATATAAGATTTAAAAGTTTTCTCTTTCAAACTATTTTGAGTATACCAATTGCAAATAAGTATTTTTTAATGTGATTTTATAATATATTTACACACTAGTTGGATTACTTATAATCAAAAATGAAAAATGAATTATACTTTCAATAGGAAAGGTCACTGAATTATCCCCTGAGGTTATTTTTCAATTTAAGTGGAGTCATTCAATTTTAGTAGCATTTTGGGATTTAGAGAGTAGCTGAGCTTTGAAAGGAGGCTCTAGCTTTCTTCAACTTTAATCACAAACCATTGCTTTTACACAAACATTAGCTCTTTCCAATTCTGGGCATCCAAATTCTGTCCCTATGTCTATGTGGAGGGATATTAGAAGTTGCCACTCCAGAAGAAAAATGTCTTAATTCCCATTTGTGTTTGACATGATAAATGGCGATTCAAATACTTAGTTGCAGAAACTCTTTCTAAAAAAAA